TTTATATCTCTCCCAGTAGTTTTTTTTTTTTTTTTTTTACCCTGACAATTTGACAATGCATGCAGGGATGAGTGTGGCAACAAGGTATTAAGGTAAAAATAAAAGTTGCTAACTTTGCAGACCACAGGCCTGGCACATTTGCCAAGTTCTTCCTGATGTCTGCCAATATAGATTCTTACCATGAGAGACGCCTCCTGAGGCCTCCTTGAGCATCCATTCTTCCCCTTTGCCCAGAAGAGAAAGCATATCTGGTTTGGGAACTAAAAGTCCTGTTTTGAGGGGGGGAAAAAAAGGAAACCACATGTGTTCATACCAGAGATAACAATCATTACAAGAATTAGAATTTCCAGAAAGAGGACTTGACAGGTCAAGGGGACAGAGGTGTTTCCAGAGGGAAAGATGGCTTGGGGCTAACACAGACACTATTCTGTCCTTTACCTGCTAGAAGGGGAGGGAGATTCCACGCAGTGGTATAAATTTTGAGTTTCCTTTTTCACTTTGGTAATGCAAATGACCAACTTAAGCTTTGATAACAAGACATCTATTTCAAGATGGCTGTTTCATACAACATACTGCCAGCCACGTGACTAGGTGAACTAGGTTGCCTATCCCCACTCAAGCCCCTTTGTTTTATAGATCCATTATTTAGATAACTGAACAAGAGAAAAACTTAAGTTTCTTCTTTTGCCCCCTTATCCCTTGCTTTAAATTCTTATGATTTAAATTCACCTATAAGAGTGAGCCTGTGAAACGCTAAAGCTTCCACTCAATAGTCTGTGCTCCCTCCACCTGCAATGGCCCAGATGTGCTATGTAATTTCTAAGTCTTGTAAGTGATGAATCTGCTTTTCTAGTTTCCTAAGGGATATTGCTGAAGGGCACATCTTATCATTGTAAGAACCAATGGGCAGGTCCAGTTGTAATACAGACTTAAAGGGGAAATGTTTAAGGGAAACAGGTGAGTACTCCAAGCATTGCCGGTCATAACAGAATTATGAATAGTCTAAGACTCACACAAAACAGACCCCTAATTACCTTTGAGGTGTCAGCGCTTGGAAGGATAAACACGTAGCAGCCTTGAAGATAATGCCATTCCCAGCCAGACCTTCCAGCTGGAACCACTTTAAGGATCCCAAAGAGATCTCCAGATGTGATGATGAGCCCTCAGAGGCTGTCACTTACCAAGTGAGACCAGGTTGCTGTAGTTCTCCAGCATGACATCCCTGTACAGGGCTCTCTGAGCAGGGCTCAGTTGTGCCCACTCGTCCTGGGCAAAGAACACGGCCACATCCTTGAAGGTCACTGATTCCTGTAACAGCAAACGGGTCCCTGTTGGCCAGGTGCTACCCCTTAACATAATTCTTGAAGAGATGCTGAGACTGGTAGCCTCAAGGGATCTGATAAGGTCTGTAGGACTACAACCATATGGGAAGCTGATGTTTTGGGACAAGGCAACTAGGTAAAAACCTAGTTTTTACTCTCTTCCCCCCCACACCCCCCACCCCGCTTTGAAGAAACACACACTGTAAAGACACGTGTCCTTAGCATAGGTACTTCACACTTGCTGTTTATTTTGCCCAGAACAATTTTTCCTATCTTCCTCCCTCAATCTGCCCAGATCACCTCCATCTCATCCTTACCCTCTTATGACTAAATAAGACCCCCTACCTGGGTCTCAACTTAAACATTACATCTTCAATGCAGCCTTCTTCACTGTTTTCCCCATATCTGCTTGCAGGCCCTAGGAGCACTGTCTCATTTAATCTGTGTTCTGGTTTACTTTCAATCTCTTACCTTCCTGCCAATTGTTAACATAAGAGCTATGGACTATTTTCACATTTTCCTTGTCTTTCCAGGATTTCTTTTGGAACATGGCCCATGTATCCAGCAGTTATCACTTGTTGATCTATCAACTCATGCTTTTCCTCAGCTGTTCACCTGCACAACCCCAAAATACATGCATGGTTCCCATGGAAATCATTGTTCTGGACAATATGACCTTGCCCCAGCTTATCACAACTAGTCCCTTCCTTGTAAACTCTAGACTGAGAAGCCAAGGGAGCTGGTGTACGCCAAGAAAGAATTAAATAGAACCCCAGAGAAGCGAGCCAAGAGTCCAAGATGAAGAACTCTGGACTCTACCTACATAGTCAAAATCCAACTGCCATGGAGAAATACTTGGGCAACAGCCCAGTATCCTTCCAAGGAATACCTGACTTAAGTTTGTTACCTACATCAGAATCTTTGAAAAGTAGACAACAGCAATAAAAAAACAAAATAAAGAAACAAAAAATACTTGTTGGATTGAATCCATGAGCCACTCTGTCAGGGACTATTCATCTTTGTATCACAGGTATGACTCATAACATATTAGTACATTTTACATTCCTAATAGAGATCTGTCAAATGGTAACCAAATTAAGGCAATGGTAAATGTAAGATGAATTGTGTGACAATGATTATTTAAAGGAAGGGTTAGGGAAGGGAAGGAAAATATTAGAGTTGATCACCACTGTGGATGGCAAATTTCACAGAAAAAGTTGTGCCTGAAATGGGTCGTTATGGACAAGTTAGAAACTGGAAGAAGGGTGATCAGCCAAGGAGCTGAAATTAGGTCGAACTTGACATATTCAACTGGCTGCCCATCCCTTCCAGAATACACTTAAAAATGAATATAATCTTGGCCCTCCCTGGTGGCACAGAGGGTTAAAGCACAGCACTGAGAATCTAAAGTCACTTCCACATGAATTCGATTCCCGCCTGCCCTGGAGGTGACCACGTGGCGTGGCAGACCTCTCCTGACCCGCCCGCTGCTCCCCTCAGCACTTCATAGATCTGCCTGTTCTGCTCCCTACTCTGTCTCTGGTGAAGCCTCTCACCGCCCCTGAGCCTCTGGCCTGTAGCCCAGTTCTGTATGCACAAATAAATAAATCTTTAAAAAAAATGAATATAATCTTGTATATCAATTATACTTCAATAAATCAATTTTAAAAAGAGTACCTTGCTGGTCAGGTTTAACTGTGAATGAATTAGAACAATTTTAGTCAATTCATTAGGATTTATCCACCCAAATGCTGTCTTTCAAAGTGGAGTTCAAATGTTATTCTAAAAAAACTGGCTACATTGGGATGGGGGAGGGGGACAGAAAGTGCACTGAACTATGGTGATGGCACACGAGTGATTTGGTATTGGGAAGCCCATGGGGATTACAACTGAAATGAAAAAAGGCACCAAATTGATGTAAAAATAAACTATTAAAAAAAAAAAGACTGGCCCTGCTCAAAGCTTTTTAGTAATTTATTTAAAGTGGAAACATACCTTTTGAATGACTTCATTAGTGCCCAACCTCTCCCTGAAGTAGGATGCCAAATGTCAGTACAAATAACGGGTCCAGTTAACCTTACTCCTCCAAGAAAGGATTCAAATTTCTCTCTTTTAACTCCTGTGGTAGCACCTGCCTTTCTCATCCTAGAGTCTTGATGTTACTTGGTAGCAGAAAGAGTACAGTTTCATTTCGAACCTGCCTGGGTTCCAGTTTCAGTTGTGTCATTTAGGTGACCTTTAGCAAGTTTCCTAGCTCCAACATGCACTAGGATGATCCAACATGAGGGAGGTGGATAAGGAGAACATCTCCCATCAGGGAAAGGAATATACTCACACTCTTCAAATCTTTATATGCAAAACATTTAAGGTAATTTGGGGTGAAGAACTCTACAGTAAGCCCCCACTCACCTGGACCATGGTTGGCAGGTGTCTGACAGCCATTCCTTCTTTGATGAGCCCTTTTAGGGAGAGAGAGAGCAGGACTCCTCTGGCTGGAAAGTTCTACCCACCTGTTATGAGAAGACTGGGTCAGAAGTTCTCACAGCCTTTCAGTTAGGTTGTGAGCATTCACATCCTGGGAGTACCACAATATTCCACGCAGCGAATTCTTAGTCTTACTTGAGCTCAATTTCTTTCCTTCTGAAGGTATTTCTGCTCACCTCCATTATTGTGGATACTGTTCACAAGCTACTACTTTGGCAGAAAGCTACTTCCAGAGCTACTTTTCAGCTTTCTGACTACCTCTGGCCTTTGCCCCTAAGCTAAGCAGAGAAGTTTATTTAAAAAGTAGTGTCTCCTGCCTCCCACCCTTCACTCCTCCTCCAACCCCTGGGCAGCAGCCTACAGCTAGGAGGGGAGTACAGAAGTAGGGAAGAAGGGGCATCTTCTTCTTAGAAAAGGAAACTAAGAAGGTTGGATCTTTCTTGTGAAGTGAATCATATCAATCTATTCTCTGGCCTCAGTGCTCTCCTACTCTGGGCCCCAGTGTGGGTGACCTGGAGTCAAAAGTGGGCCAGAGAGAAACAACATATTTGGGGGATAGGCTCAGAATCTTATTCTGGCTGCGCTCTGTCACGCTGCCAGGTCCCAGGTGCCCCACTGCAAGGACTGCGCCAGCTAGCCCTACCTCAGAGTGTAGGGCACACTGAGCTCTGAGCCACAAGGGGGCTTCTAACCCTGGAGCATAAGCAGGTTTCCTGGAATTGATCCAAGACACGCTAGAGGCCCTCCTTCTCTTGCACTCACAGATTAGTACCCCAAGCCCAAGTACACTTCTGGCTGACCTCCCTTCTCGCTAGAATCAAACCTTGGCCGTTCGGGAAGTTTAGGGCATCAGATAAGCATCCAACGGGCTCACACCCCGACACCCGGACCTACTCGGCTTTCTTTGTACCCTTATCTCCGCGTCCGACCACCCCACAGACGCTCCCACACGCCCGACGCATCTCTAGCCACCATGCCTGTTCACCCCTAGATTGCACTCGAGGAGCCTCCGCTCACGGCCAGAGGCCGCAAGCGCCACATCGCAGGCAAAACACAATGAGCTGAAATCAACACCACCAGGTCTGAATTGCGCTTGCGCGTTGCCCGGGAAACCGTTGAGCCGAATCCTCACAAAGGCCGGAGGCTGCAGCATTTCAGCCTCCCAGATTCCACAACACAGAGGGCGGATCCCACCCCTGAGCCCTCACTCGCTGGGCGGGAAGTGATGATGTGCGCATGCGTCGACAGTCAGCCCATCAAGGCTGTTTGTCCGCTTCGATAGGAAACTACATTTCCCGGGGGCCTTGGCGGGTGAAGGCCTGACAGTTCCCTCCTGTAACTAGCCCGGGTGTGCTATCCCGATCCTGGGGCTTTGATTCTGTTCTGGTTAGATTCGGACGAGGTCTTGGCCTTGAAATGACATCCAGTGAGATAATAGAACAGAGACGAGTTAACGATGGAGTGAGGAAGATTGATCTGGGAGAGTGGTTTCTGATTTCATAGAGAAAGCGCAACAGGGACAGCCCCCGAGGACGGAATAGGAGCCAAAGACTGGAAGAAGCCATGTAACTGAGTGCTGGACAAGCCTGTAGACACCAAGTCCTAATGGCTTAGCCCCGCAGAAGAGTCTGGGCAGCATGCAGGCTGGAAGTCCGTGGGGGCCTCCCTGGAGGCACAAGGGGTTAAAGTGCAGCAGTATGAAGCTATCACCAGCCACTGCAGCATGAGTTTAATCCCCAGCCAGGGAGATGACCCATATGGCCAGCAGATCTCCTTCCTCTCCCACTTGCTCTCCTCAGCAGTGTATTTCAGTCTTCCCACTCTGCCTCTGGTGAATCCCCCCACCTCCCACCTGTTAGCCTGTCCCATAAATAAATCTTTAAAAAAAGAGAGAGAAGTGCAATGCAGTATGGAAAGGACAGAGAATTCAGGCTGACAGCTGCCTGAGGAGGCTGTGGGCACTTCAGGGCATTGGGTGACGGCTGGGACCCAATGGGAGCCTTGGGAGCTGAAGCTTGACGACTTAGATGTGCTAGGGGAAAATAAGGGACACCTACCAAAGGATCCTGGACATCAAGGAGGCTGTGCCTGCTGAGTGGTATTTAGAGAAAGTGATATTGGTTTTTGTGGACAGTATTGTATAGCAGTGAGCAAGGATAAAGTCATAGGTGGAAGCATCTAACTGGAGATAGTTGACTTTGAATACATTTGCACTGAAGTTGGGAAAGAGTGTTGACTATTCATGAGAAAAAGCCAAGACTGACCTGAGGTTTGTCAGGGAACTGTTGGCCACCTCTCAGGAAGCAGTGTCAGTGACTTTACCTATGAGACACTATAGCATTGTTTTGGGTTTTATTGAAAATTGTACTAAACAGACAAGTTTAAGTGCATGTGTCATTTATTGTTCTGGGGGCTAGAGCAGAAGTGAAAATGCCACATTTTTCAGGCTTAATTCCACTAGAGGAGGTAGCTCTTAAAACTTTGTTTAGAATGTAAAATGGGCTGAGGATTACTTCAAATAGTGTTTTGGGAAATTCTTTGAGGTTATTACATTCAAGCAGCTTTGGATAAAGTGAGAGAAGATACATGTGACTGTCTGGAGAAGAGCCATCTGTAAAGTGTGAACAGAAATGCTGTACAGAGAAAGAAGTGAGAAGTATGATTGGTTTGAGGTTTAGCAGGCCCAGTATGACTGAAGAGGAGGTGGTAACAATGGAGACAGAGAGGAGTTTGGAAGGGTAACTAGAGATTTTGAAGGCCAAGGTAGGATTCTTGGGTTTATTGTATGTGAAGGGAAACCACTGAAAGGATTTGAACAGTGACATGACTGAGCACATGACAGAGGAACTCATTAGGAGGCTGTTACAGCAGTCTGCCTTTTACAGTGACAGAACTTATCTACAATGCATTCACTTTGGAGTCTAAGTGATTCTAAGGTAATCATGGATTTTAGATACTATGCTAAGGAATTTGGATATTGTTATATTTTCAAGATTGTGAGGGTGATGCTATTACTTAAGCACCAACTATTGTTGGGCACTTTTAAAATTTATTATCGAATGTAACCCAAAGTTATGAGGTTTGAACTATTAACTGAAAAAACTTAGTCACCATTATATTTCATTGTCTTGCCCAAAATCTAAAGCCCAGTAAGTGAAACCAGGAGTATTCTGCTGATAGAGCAAGGGTACCAAGGTTGCACTCATTTCTTGCTCTCCAGATAGCTAAGAGCTGAGATACAAGGGCCTAAGCCTTCCAAAATTTCTGAATAATGTAATGAGGCCTCCATTTATGTAACCCATTTCTCCTAGTATTCCCTCTACAGGTTGCATTAACAATTTTGTTATTGCATCCACCTTAAATGTCAATAAAGTCCTCTTCCTCTCTCCTTTTACCTGTGCTTCCTTTTGAGCTTTTTTTTTAACTGCTGTCTTTATTGTTTTCATCTATATTCTGTCTCATTCCTTTGCCTCTTTTAGAAAAGGAGTACATGAAGGGAAACAAGGAAACTGCATGAGAGAAGTGTTATTAAAAAGTCTGTTTCTAAATGTGCAAAATGATGTAAAAATAAACTTTGTAATAAAAAAAACCTTTAAAATAAAAAGTCTGTTTCTGGCCCTCCCTGGTGGTGCAGCGGGTTAAAGCACTAAAGCCACTTCCACATGAGTTCGATTCCTGCCTGCCCTGGAGGTGACCACATGGCGTGGCAGACCTCTCCTGACCTGCCCGCTGCTCCCCTCAGCAGTGTACTTCGTTGATCTGCCTGTTCTATTCCCCACTCTGTCTCTGGTGAAGCCTCTCACTGCCCCGAGCCTCTGGCCTGTACTCCAGTTCTGTATGAATAAATAAATCTTATCTTTAAAAAAAAATCTGTTTCTGAGGATCCAAAGGAATTACATGAAGATGTGTGCTATTCTCCCTTTGTCTTTGCTTGTGGCAACTCTAAGAACTAGACTTTATAGAGATCACATTGTCCAAAGACAGTGAATTTTCCAATAGCCAAATACTGGGCATCCACAGAGATCTTCACTATGTGGGATACCCCATAGGTATCCTCTGTACCTATCATTTCTTAATTCATGTTTTTTTCCAAGGGTGGTTCTTCCTAGTGAAAAAAAAAAATTCTGTAGTTTCCACCAATACCCCAAATCTTACTTTTTTCCACCTTGAGATGCACACACCCACATTTTTATACCCACAAACTCTTGCATGAGGACCTCTTTTCAGTAATAAACACATTCCATTCTTCTGCATACAAACACATTTGCAGATTGTTGGTTGATTAAATCAACATCTTTTTCAAGGTTCCCTTTCTGTGCAATTTTACCTCCACTATGGAGGCTAGAAGAGCTAAAATATTCATTTTATTAGCCTCCTTTGCTCCTACTGTCTTCAAAACACAACTTTAGTCAACAAGATACAAGCAGGTCATCTAACGGGCTACTGAGAAAACCTATTCTGAGAAAAGGCATTGGTGTTGCTGCTGCTGTTACTCATCCCCTATCTTTCTACTGTGAATAAAGGTTACCTTGCCTGAAGCTATGGCAGCCATCATGAACATGATGGAAAATCTATGAAGCCCAAGGTATTGAACTATTTTGTCTATGAACCAATGCCCACTACCTCTAGATTTGTTGTGTGAGAAAAAATAAATCCCTGTTTGTAAGCCACTGTTAAATGGACTTTATTTGAAGTCAAAGTTCAAATAGAGATTTATTTTCTCTATTTCCCTCTAGTTATCTTTCTAATCTCTCCTTTCTCGGTCCAGCTATTTTTTTTTGACATGTAACTCACTCTTAAACCCACTAAAATTTGGAGCTTATCAGTGGTAAGATTAAAGGCCATATTTCTAGTTTTACCTAATCTTCCCTATCAGGATTTGGAAATATTAACTATTCTTATCCCAACACTAAACCTTCCTTTAATTTTTGTGCTACTACTCTCTCAATTTTTCTGGTTTTGATTTTTCCTTTTGGCGAGTCTTTCCTCTCAGCACTGATTCCACTTTTGCCTAATGCCATCCTCCTTGGATTCATTACTTGGATTGATATAGAGTCATCAAAATGCCCTGAACTTATTATCCTGCAAAATTTGACAATTTTGTTTTTAATTATGGCAACCCATCTGCCCACATAAATCCATGTCACCCAAGACTCTTTCTTCTTATTCAAGTGTCCACATTCAATTATTTACCACCATTATCTCTACTCACTTCACTATTGCTTGAATTCTTCATTTTCTCTCCCAGAACAACTGCCATTTTTAGTTTAGCACTTCATTAACAAAAAACATCTTATTCATTTTGCTTTTCTAATCATGTCAAGCACATAATTTATCACTTTATTAGTGTGTACAAAAAATGAAATTGTCTTAACTATCATAAGTATACATCCAAAAATCTTTCTGTGACCAATTTGATATTTTGAGTTTCAAATGTCTTATTAATGTCAAATTTTAATGTTTATTACTGCTCATCCTTCTGATGTTAGAATATGATACAAGAAAGGCATTTGATTCATATGTAAAGATTATATTAAAATCATGCTGTTTTCTAAATACTTAAGCTTATTTAACAATAGTTTAATGACTAATAGAGAAAACAGCCTTGCTGGTATATTAAGATTTGTATAATTATTCCACCACCTGTTAGCAAGCAGATTCTATGTTAGGGGACAAAAGGTCAATGGAGTGGGGAGGAACATGGAAGGATCACAGGAATTGATAAATATAAAAAAATTTGACCAAAAGCAGTCAGGGAGAACAGTGGAACAGGAGAATCTAGATAACATATAACATGGTAAGTGATGAAGGATTTCACAACGCTTACTCTGTTTATAGGTTTTTAGCATTCTAGAATTAGTATGGATTGTGTAGTCCTTCTAAATTAAAAATCCATTTTGCAACACAAGGGAAACTGACCTAGTGAAGATAGATGACAAGTTAGTGGCAGGTCAGAATAACATACCAGGTCGTTGGGGTATCCAGTTAGTCACATATTTCCTCTCCTGTCTGATGTCCATAAGAGAATCATAGGTAATAGAACTTATTTTCAGCATGACATTTCACTGTTCAAAACATTAGCTACTTAAACTCCCAAACTGTTTTACTTTTTGAGCCAAGGTTTTTCCACTTTTATATTGTTTCTTTACAGTGGTCTGTATTATCTGACATAGGATATTATAGTTCAACTAAAAAATTCCTATAACTGCAACATTTATTAAGCTTCTATATTATATGACTTATCTGGTTATCACTGAAGAGCCATTCATGATGAAAAGACCAAAGAAAACTTTCCTTATGTATGAGTTCTCTGATGTCGTGTAAGGTTTGTGCTCCGACTAAAAGCTTTTCCACATTCATTACACTGATAGGGTTTCTCTCCTGTATGAGTCCTCTGGTGCACTATAAGGGATGAATTCTTAATGAAGGCTTTTCCACACTGACCACATTCATAAGGTTTCTCACCAGTGTGAATTCGTTGATGCTCAATAAGGTATGCACTCTGGCTGAAGGCCTTTCCACATTCATTGCATTTATAAGGTTTCTCTCCAGTGTGAATGACCTGGTGTACAGTAAGGGATGATCGGCCAGTAAAATGTTTTCCGCATACCATACACTCATAAGGTTTCTCTCCAGTATGAATTCTTCGATGTTGAGTAAGAGATGAATTCTTACTGAAAGCTTTTCCACACTGATTACATTCAAAAGGTTTTACTCCAGAATGAAGTCTCTGATGTTCTATAAGGTATGTACTTTGGCTAAAGGATTTCCCACATTTGTTACATTTGTAGGGTTTTTCTCCAGTGTGATTTCGCTGATGTAGGGTAAGAGTTGAGCTCTTACTAAAGGCCTTTCCACATACATTACACTCATAGGGTTTTTCTCCAGTGTGACTTCTCTGATGTACAATAAGATGCATGCTTTGACTGAAGGCTTTTCCACATTCATTACATTCATAGGGTTTTTCTCCTGTATGAGTTCTTTGATGCACTGTAAGATTCATACTTTGGGTAAAAGCTTTCCCACATTCATTACATTTGTAGGGTTTCTCTCCAGTATGAATTCTTTCATGTTGAATAAGGGATGAATTCTTACGGAAAGCTTTTCCACACTCTTTACACTGATAGGGCTTCTCTCCAGTGTGAGTTCTTTGATGAATAGTAAGATTCATACTCTGACTGAAGTTTTTTCCACATTCATTACATTTATAAGGTTTCTCACCAGTATGAATTCTTTGATGTACAGTAAGGGAGGAACGTTCAATAAAGTGTTTCCCACATATATTACACTTAAAAGGTTTCTCCCCAGTATGAATCCTTTGGTGTTTAAGAAGGGAGGAGCTCTGAGTGAAGGCTTTCCCACACTCATTACATTCATATGTTTTCTCTGCTACAAACAATCTTTGAGTTTCAATTAATTCCGAATTTTGTTTAATGTCTTTTCTGTATGAGTTCCAATTATAAGGACTTCCCCCCATAGGAATACTTTGTTGTGTATCAAGAATTGAACCGTGACTGAAACATCTTTCAAATTCAATATCTCTGTGTACCTTCCTCTCAGTGAGGGCTTCCTTATGGGTAACTGCCACTTGGTCCAGATGTCTACCCTGTCTTTTTTCTTCCCCTTCTACCCAACTGTCAGGTTCCCAGGTTTCCCCTATAGTTGACTCCCAGAGACCTTCCCTTTCCATTGTGACCCCATAGGACAAATATTCATTAATTTTGGACTTTGCAGTTGACTCTTTAGTTTCAAGTCTCCTCTCCCAATCTGGAAAAAAATAAATAAAATGGACATTAGTTTCTGTGCTGGGAAATGAAAAACTACGTTAAGGTGAAAATGAGAGAAGGAAACAGAAAAGGGAACATTTGATAGTCTTCAAAGCTGTCCCTACAATTAAGAGAAATGGAAGGGATTGTTACAGAACACTCCAAAGTGCATTCTGCCATCTGCCGCGTCAAGACAAAACATATAAAACTTTAATGAAAAGGGACTTTAATGCAGTGAATATACAATATGAAACACAAAGAATATAATGTCTAAATCAAACACCTGAAGTTACCTATACCCTTGTGGGCAAAAGTCAACCCAAAGGGGGTTTGTCCAAAGCAAGGCCTGAAAGCCCACCACTAGACTAAAGCACCTTCTGGCCGGGACCCATGGAAAAGGGTCAGAAATGGCCAGACAAATCTGGGA